GGAGATCAGGACATGCACAATAAAGTCAAAATGGCACAGGGTGGGGGTGTTGGACCATAAAGGCCTATCAGTCTCACCTGGGAAAAAGATGGTTGGCTTAGGGGGTAGCCCCTGAAATCTTTGGAAGTTAATTGGTTGTTTTGAAAAAGCTACTAGTTAAACCCCCACAAGAACAAAATGCTCTCTCTCACTCCCTCCCCCCCCCCGGGACCCCACTCACCACATTTGTTCCTGTTCTTTCCCGCCCGGAGCACACAACCATGCAGGTCTAGTGGCCTCCTGGTGCCCACCCAAGACTACACAGGCCCAAAGGATTATGAAGCAGAAACTCTGGGCATTGGCCTTTGCATTGGCCTTGTTGAAGAGGAGATTGGACTTTTTCTGTGGCAGGATGGAAAGAGATGGGACATTGGGAAGCCAGGAGGAGAACATTTTTGATATTACATAACAAATAAACCACATGGCCACATCACAATTTCCCGTGTGTGATTCCTTGGAATTCTGTCCTCGCAATTCTGTGGAAGAGCCTCTTTCTCACCAACAACAACACCCCAGTGAATCAGACTCCTTAAAATCCAAAGATTGTTATTACAACCAACTACTCTCCATACCTGGTGAAATTCTGATGCAGAATCATTCGATACACGGAGGGTGCAGTAATGCATTGGGTGATGGGGTATTTGGAGAGTGTCTACAAAGTGAGGAGAGAAAAGTTTTATTTTTATTATTAAATTAAAAATATCGACCACTTAGCATTTTAATTCTGATCGTCCCTCTAGGAGAGCCCATTTATTCATTTGTTAATTCTTCCCATATACGTATATGGAATGTGAATGTGTTTTTGGACTGAAGGAGTAGAGTTGATGAAAAGTGAGAGACTGATAATACAGAAGAAAAGGTGCAATGGATTAGAGATGAGTAGAGAGGGGCTCCAACAGAAGGGCCTGGAGAAGACCTGGACCCACAGTGAGGAGGCATGGGGCTTGGACTTCGAGAGGTGGAAGGCAGGTCTGCAGCAAGAAAGCAAGGGTGTGGCAAGTGGACACACAAATGGCATTTCAGGTGCAGGGAAGTAATTTGAAGGGGTTTATGCAGGCAACTTCAGCTGTTACCATTACGTATGCAACTGCTAGCAATTACTGAAAAAGCTACTAGTTAAAACCCCACAAGAACAAAACCCTCTCTCTCTCCCCTCCCCCCACCCCAGGACCCCAATCACCACATCTGTTCCTGTTCCTGTTCCTGTTCTACTAGTAGTTTTTAGGTGCAGGCCTCAGGGCTAAGCACTTTACACACTTTGCCTGTATCGTCTCAATATTCCCAACAATTGTATGAGGTAGTAACTATTAAAACTCCCATCTTACAGTTAAGGAGACTGAGGCTCAGACAGGTAAGTAGACCACTAATAAATGGTAAGTGTGTGAAAAGAAACTAGAACCATCACATTCCAAGGGCTCTGTTTTTAAACATTTCATTAAATTCATACACCCCGTCTCTCCCCCCGCCCCCAAACACCAGCTACCTGGCCCTGGAGGAGCCCTGAGACCTGAGCTTGTTCTGGTTGCTTTAATTTCTCAAAATGTATATTCCTGGTGATTCTGATACAGTGACTGATTCAGCACCTCACATTTTGAGGAACCCAGAACCTGAGTTATATTATACTAATGGGCCTCTTTGCCATATAAACAATTTCTCAGCAAGGTCCAGCTTTTGAGCTTGAAACAGGAGTTTCTTCTAAGAGTTTGTTGATACTAAAAGGTTAGTCTTCTTACCTGTACAATGATCTTAGGATCAAACTGGGGCAGGTAATGGATGAAGACTGTAGACCCTGCTGTCCATGGTTCAAACAGGGCCCCCACGGCATTCATAATCCAGCCTGGATCTGACAGGCACCAGAGGACATCACTCGTCTTCAGCTGCAGTAATTTCCTGCTAACTCCAAAATACAGTGGCCTCAGCTTTGTAACCACGGGAAGATGGGATCAAGGGCTGGGGAATCTGGTCCTCAGGTAGCGACCTGCCTTTCTCACTCTCAGTTGCTGTGGTTTCAGTGGGGCTCCAGACTCACTCCCGCCCCAGGTCCCAAAGGTAGGTCAAATATTTCCTGGTCACATGCCACTTCTGGTTCAACCATAATGAGGCTTAAGGCTGGGGATACTGGGATGAAGCCTGTTGCTCTCTTTCTGCATTCAAGCCTGTGCCTGGTATAGTCTTGGGCAATGCTGGCAGCCGCTGGGATAGTAAGGGCCGGGCCTTTCTGAGAACAGCCTCAAAACCTAACAGAAATAGCTGGTGGGTGGAGAGAAGAAAATGTCTGGAGTGTTTTCCTCCCTCCTCTGACTGCTCCTGAGGGGCTTCTGTGTGTGTAACTCCTTGAGGAAACTCAACTCCCCCATGAGCAGGCTCCTGCTCTGAGGAGCTTTTCTATGAGCAGAGGGACCTGGAGAGCCAGCCACCCCCTCATCCCCTCTGTCTTGGGGCTGTGGCACTCCCACAAGACATGACTAGCTAGGGGCCTCTGTTTTGAGCTTCAGACCCAACTCCCCACTCAACATCATTCTGGGATGTCTCTCAGGCACCTCAAGCCCCAAGCACCCTAATCTCTCCTGTCTTCCTGGACTAAGAATTCTCCAGTGTTCTCTGTGAGTCAGTGAGTGTCATTCTGTCCAAACCTGGGAGTCCACCTTGCCTTCCATGCCCTCCTGTCTCCCATCCAGCCAGCACTCACTGCCCATTCTGTCTCCTAAAACCTCAAACTTGTTAACTTCCTTCATGCCCCAGCACCTTGTCCAAGCCTGACCACCATCTGGCACCTAAATTATCCTAAGACCCTCTAGCTAGTCTTTTTAAAACTTTTTCCCCCAACCCATTCTTCATCCTGCAGCCACAGTGATCTTTTCAAAACACAAATCTGATCAGGTCTCTCCCTTGCTAACAACCTTTCAATACCTCTCATGGTTTTCCCAATAAGCTCCAATCCCTACCCCACAGTCCACCCAACCCCAGGAGATCTGGGCCCCACTCACTTTCCCAGCTCCTCTGCCTTTCACTCCCTGACACCCTGAGCAGCAGCTCTTCTCAATCTCTGTAGTTCTATGGATGCTACTTTTCATATGTTTGTGCCTTTGCTTGTTTTCTTCTGACTACACAGAAAGCCCTCCCCTTCCTTCCACCCTGATTCCTCCAGGGTTTTGCTGATCAAGATTATTGTTAGCACAGGTATCCAGTGTCCACAAGACACCCTCCTGCCCCCTGGTCTGGTAATAAGGTGGAAAATATATAGAACTTGGTCTGGTCTAAATATTGCTAGTTGGAGAGGAGGGAGTGGGAGGGAGAAGATGCTTGGTTTAAATTTGATTAAATGATTAGCCCAAGGCTATGGCTTCAGCCTCTACAATTATTCATTTTAGGTTAAAGGCAGTGGCTTGGCTCCAGGTATTTACTTCCCCTAACAGTTCTTGATTGTGAAACTCCAAGTTTGATTGGCTGATAATGACAGAGAGAAGAGGACTTGTCACCTCTGGTCACATAGTTAGAACATTCTGTCTTCCTCCCACCAAACCCTGGAACCAGTGACAAGGACACAAGGCTTGTCATTGTGCAGCTTGTACAATGCCTGCTGCCTCCACCCGTGTTTCCTCCACAGCTGTGAAGGCGCTCAGGCAGGACCCCCTTTGTCCCTGGGAGGCTTCTGTCCACAAATGCTTAGGAGTCCAGGCTTTTGCCTCTCAGCCCCTGGGTGGTCTGAGCCGACGAGAGCAGAAGGGAGAAGCAGGACGGACTCGGTTGTACTTGGAGCACCTTTCCCAACGCACACACCCCTAGCCCCAGATGGTGACCCAGCCTCTAAGTTGGTGCCCTCTTTCCTACCTTGAAGGGAAGGAGGAGCGTAGGGAGAGTCCATGGCTGTGTTTTGCCATCTTGGGGCAGCCGCTGGTCCCACTGGTAAAGAAGATGACCATTGGGTCCATGGTCTTCGACTTAATACAGGTGTGGTCTGGGGATGCTGATCTAGAAAGGCATTCAGTAGAAAGGGAGAGAAGTCAAGTCTCCTGGCTCAGGGTAAGCAAAGGAAACATCATGAGGCTCGAGGTCAGAAAATTGGTTTGCTTGTTTGTATTGAGTTTAGGGAGAGAGGAAGGGGGAGAGAGAGAGA